TGAGCCCCCTGCTGCACCCCCAACCCTCCTGCACCCCGACCCCCTGCCCTGAGCCCCCTGCACACCCTGAACCCCAACCCCCTGCCCTGAGCCCCTGCCACATCCCTCCTGCTCCCCCTGGGGGCAGGGAGGGGGCAGAGTTGGGGTGGGGATTTCAGGGAAGGGGTTGGAATGGGGGCAGGGAAGGGATGGGAAGAGGCAGAGCCTCATGGAAGGGGTGGAGTGGGGGCAGGGCTGAGGGCAGCAGGGGGAGGTGTCAGTAATGCAGCCCCCATACCAATGTACTAGTCCTCATGTGGCCCTCGTGGTCATTTGAGTTTGAGACCCCTGTCCTAGACCCTACAATCTCAAAGCACATGCAGAGGCAGGGATCAGCACCTCACAAGATGGAGCTTGAAGGTCCCCTCTGTTTACTTCCCTGAAGTTATGCTGATTCACAGCACCCGAGGATCTGGCCCCTGGCCTCCAGAGCTCTTTGTAATCTCCATATTTTCAGGCTGAACATTTATTTTAGATCACAGGAAACAACAAAAAACAAATGATTGTTCCCCTGAGAAAGTGTGCAGAGAGAGAGTGGGGAATCTCCCGCTTCCAGCATGCTGCATGAGCTCTGCAACGCATCTTGGCAGACAGCAGAGCTAGAGAAATTTAAAGCCACAGTACACCAAAGTTACATAGCTACAGATACCACAAAAAGTGTTCATTAGTAATCCCAAGCTCTCATGTAGGGCTTTTTACCCGTAGATCTCAAAGCACTTCACAAAGGAGGGCAGTATCACTATCCCTATTCTACAGATGGGAAAACTGAGGCAGAGAGGCAAAGTGACTTGCCCAAGGACACCTGCAAATCAGTGGCAGAGCCAGAAGTAAAACCCAGATCGCCTGAGTCCCAGCCCAGTGCTTTATCCTCTTAATGTATACAAATGATCGGACCACCACACTCAGATAGCTAGGTACATGTAACATGTTTATTGTAGATCAAGAATTAATTTAGAGGGACTTACAAAATAAATATATGTACATATACACATATACACACCCACATATATAGCTAATCAAAAGCATGCAAATCACTTTGAAGCACAAATTAGACCAACCACTGAATTCTAACAACATGTACAGGGAAGTTCAAGAACTTCTAGGGATCCTTAGTCTAGGACATTCCCAAAATCTCCTTCTCTGACCCCTCCTGTATAGATTCTGTGGCCCAAAGTTTTAGAAATGCTTTTGTTTTCAAAGGCAGCATTTTTCACTTGCAAATCATGGGTGCAAAAATCAGCCGTTAGAGAACAGGGCTTGTCTATGTGGAAGTTACTGCATGGCAAGCCAGGGTGTGAATCTACGCACATTCTGGGATTTTTAATGCGCCATAGTAATGTCCACATAGGGATGCTGCACTGTGGCAAGCTAGTGTGCTGTAGAGTCACACCTCGGCACGCCTTGCAGTAATGTTCCATGTGGACAAGACCTAAACATCCCTTTGCACCAACAAATCAAGTAGTTAGATGACTAGCTGCAGTCCTGGAGCACTGCAATTCCACCTCTCCTGCTGGAAGGGAGTGATTTATCTTTTGTTGACAGGAACCAAATGTCACTCAATGGAATTCACTTGACAGGGCAAGATGCCCAGCAAGATGGATGGGATTTTAAGGGTTTAGTTGCCCAAATGTCCCCATTCAGGGGATACGAAACTCTTGTAGACTTCAATTAGGGAGTAACACAAATTCCAATGGTGTGGGGAGGTTCTGTACTAACATGTGCATCCATAAAAACAAAAGCCTGGGTTGAAACCCAGCTATGCATCAAGCCTTTCACCTGATGTTTTTCCTCTTCTTGAGCTGATTCATAGATTGTAAGCCCAGAAGGGACCATTAGACCTCCTGCATAGCACAGGCCAGAGAATTCACCTAGGTACACCTGTGCTGATCCCAACAATTTGTGCTTGGCTAAACCACATTTTCCAGGAAGGCTTCTGGGCTTGTTGAGATGGGACTGAGAGCTGCAGAATCCACCACTTCCCTTCGGAAGTTTGCTTAGGCCTGACCTACTGGTACACAACCTCCATCATCAAAGCATTGTGCCAAGTGGATTTTGCTGGGTTCTCAGTGTGACCTCTTGGCACTATCATTCTGCGCTCCCCCAGGGCACTCCTGTTTAGCAGGTGTCGCACTCTACACCCCAGGGGAGTGTCCTATAACCCACATATTAATCATTTTGTATATAATTGTGATATTGCATATAAAGCATGCCATGTAAGGTATCATGGGAAAGGTTATGATCTGCTGAAACCCACTGTTCCATCTAAATATATATATATATCATTGGTGCATATGAAGTTATGAGAATTGTGTTGTATGATTGTCACTAAAATATGCTGTGGGTTTGGGAAGCTCCCAGATACTAGCTCTCCAGAGACAATAACCAGGGGGATAACCAATGTCCGGGCAGGTGTCGAACAACCATCAACAGCCATTGTCTAGCAAGGGAGCTACAATGCAATGACTCACCTGCGTAAAGCTATACCAGTGGAATTGCTTAACCTTGTCAGCAATGCCCACCAGACATGCCTGGACGTATGTTCTCCAAGCACATGGACTACGGGTATAAAACAGAACAGAGGGCCACATGCTTGGCCTTTTCTCCTTCCCCCACCTATGCTGCAAGCAGCAAGGATGCTCAGGAGACTGAAGACTGCAACAGAGGAGACTGGCCAAGGTTTCAAGGGTGAAACCTGTGTACTATGAACTGCAATATCCAGGGGGGGTGAGAAAAACTGCTTAATCTAGATAATACCCAGTCTAATAGAGTTGAGAGTTTAGACTGCATGCTTATATTTTATTTTATTTTGGTAACTAACTCTGACTTTTTGCTTATCTAGGGTTACCATACGTCCGGATTTTCCCAGACATGTCCGGCTTTTGGGGCTTCAAATCCCCGTCTGGGGGGAAATCCCAAAAAGCCGGACATGTCCGGGAAAATCAGGACATGCGGGGCTGGCGGTGCTGGGCTGGGGGTCGGGGCCGAGCTGGGGGCCAGGGCCGGACTGGCGGTGCTGAGCCGGGGGTGCGGGGCCGGCGGTGCTCAGCCGGGGGCTGGCCTAGGGCCGGCACCCCAGGGCCCGAGCCGACCCAGGCTGGAGATGCCGGGGGGGGGGCCAGACTGGGCCGCGCCTCCTCCCCCCACCCCACCCCCTTACCTGCTTCAGGCTTCCCGCGAATCAAATGTTCGCGGGAAGCAGGGGAGGGGGCGGAGGCGAGGCTGGGGGCAGGGCCGGGGCCCCGTGGAGTCTCCTCTTTTTGGACACTCAAAATATGGTAACCCTAGCTTATCACTTAAAATCTATTTTTTGTAGTCAATAAACTTCTTTTATTGTTTATCTTTACCAGTGAATTTGCTTGAAGTGTTTGGTAAATCTGCTCAGGTTTGCAAAGGCTGGTGTATATCCACTTTCCATTGAAGTGACAAACCAATTAATAAACTTGCACTGCTCGTCTTGAGCAGTGCAAGATGGTATATTCTTGAATTACAGTGCTGGGAGCTGGGGGGATTCGGCTGGTGCCTTTCTCTGTGATTCATGAGTGGCTCTGGGAGCATTCATGCAATCTATCTGCGTGTGGGGTTTCCACATGCAGTTGTGCTGAGTGATCACAGCACCTAGAGGAGTTTGCTACTTGTCATTAGCAAAGCATTGTGAGAGACAGCCCAGCCTGGAGAGTTAAGGGGGTACAGTGGTCCCACGGTCCCAGGATTCACCCCGGGGATCCTATCAAAGATCCTTTGATCCTGTCTTCCTGCTTCCCTGAGCACTGATCAATTCCCCAGAGCATGAAATAGAGAATAGAAGAGCTTGAATCCTCACACCCTTCACAATCAGATGGTTCTCCTGCCAGACTCTTCGCTTCTCCTGCCTTCTCACACATGCGTGCGCACACTCACACACACATTCTCTTTCTCTATGTTGTTTCATTGCCTTGAAGAGCTCCTCCAGTTTCAGGGCAACACTCAGGTCGCCCTTGACACGCAACCTCCCGCTCATGTAGGCACTCAGAGGATGAAGTTCACCTGAGAAGAAAGACTGCAGGTCATTTTCCGTCATCTCCAGAATCACATCAGGGTTGCGCTGAGCGTCCCCAAGGCCAATCCGCCCACTGCCTGCAGGGCATGGATATATGAGAGAGGATCAGTACCAGGGTTTTACATCTAACACTTTGGGGAAGCCAGAGGCCCTTTGTGTTTGGTTTGTTTAATGAAGTGAATTTAACGCTGGTGAAAGGGGACAGTCCCCTCCCTCCAGCAGTAGGGCAAGCTTCTCCCTACACTGCTCCAGTAGCATCCCAGATGGGAAGGGATGTCCTCCTCCACACCCTCTCTGCTGAGGGCACCAACAAAGGTGCCAGTTAATGTCTAGGATGCTGGTGGGTTACTGAGCAACATGGCTGCCCGTCAGCTAGGAAGTGGAGATCACCCAGACAATGTGCTTTAGGCTAAGCAGCCATTGGAGGGGAGCGTCTTCCTGCCACCTTGGACTAGAGGTGGACAACAACTAGCAATCCCACACCACCGTCACTGCGCGTTATGGAGATGGGCAGGAGACATATTTCTGTATGTAAAATTTTCCATCTAAATTTTTTTTGAAGGAATATTGGGTTTTTGCTCTCCACAGAGAACTGATTTTTTGTTGAACCACCAAGTGCCCAAAAACTGGAATATTTTCAGCTGCAAAACCAAAATACTTTTATTTGGAAATGCTGCTGCGGTGCCTGATAGGAGTTGTAGTTCAGGTGCTTCATGCTCCTATTCTTCCTGTGCCAGCCAGGCTGGATTTCATCTCCCATGATACATCATTGCCATGCAAGACATGGTCATGGAACAGTGTGGTATCATGGAAAATGTAAAGCTATGTGCCATCCCTGTGCACCCTTTTGTAGCTGGATGTGACACTGCAGGTTAGCTCTATCTTATATTCCCCAGTTGGTATCAAAACATTCCTCATAAAGGATCTGGACAAGTGCAAGCCAAAAAACAAGCTAAGCAGAGTAAATTTGTCTCCTTTAATAAGATCTCACCTCAGACCCTGGCTCACAACTCCTCAGCTCAAAGATCTCCCAGCAAGGTGTCAGAACCAGGCACCTCCCACTGGGCCTGAGTACTCTCCAGGCTGATTGATGGGTTCTGCTAGGGCTGCCTGAAAAGAGTCAGCAGGCCTGTTTTTAAGCTCAGCAGCAGGTCACTGGCTGCTCAATGCTGGGCCCCCAGCTGTGATGGATTGTGCTCCAGCCCATGTCCTCTTCCTGGCTCCTGACTCGGGCTCTGACCCTTTGCCCCCTCAGCCCAGTTCTAACCACTGAACTGGGCTGCCAGCGCCCAGACCCCTGACACAAAGTCTCTGAGCCTGGTCATGGGTTCAGCTTCTGGAGCCTAGGAGAGAGAGATATCACCACCCCTTGCAACCTGGATTGCTTCTAGTCCCATCTCCTGCTCAGAGTCCTGTTTCTGTTTACACAGCAGAGCAGGGAGCCTCCTTGATTATACCCAGGCTGTCCTGGTTGCGAGTTCTGGCTTACCCATGGGGTGCTACACACCTTCGCAGAGAACGAATACTACCAGGAGCTTGTGTTAGAGAAGAAACTGGGGTGCCTCTCCCCCTCCCCGCCAAACTACAGCTCCCAAGTGGCACCATTTCAAAACCAAAAATATTTCAATTATTCACTGAAAAGTTGAATTTTTCCAAGGAATTCCCCCAAGTCCGCATTTTCCAACCACCTCTACTAATGAGTTCAGCTCTGTGTGTGGAGAATAAAGAGCATGCACACGCTTGCACCCACACACAACACAGCTCAAAGTCCTCACCCACCAAAGTGCCTCCCAAACACAGGGAGAATAAATGGCAGTGACCTGCAGTGAGATCTATGAAGTAGGTGCTCCAGGCACCACTCAGAAGTATGATGTTGAACTGGTAGGAAGCTCCAACTGCACCAACCAAGGACTCAGACAGGAACAGCTCCACAGCTGACAGCAACTCCCCAGGGCTAGGTTTCCTCCTGCTGCTGCTACTGGTGGTGGTGGTGATGGTAGGAGCTGGTGGTTCTGCCTCATTCACTGTCACCACGCTGTCTGCTGGGGACAAAGGTGTAAAGATGGGATCGGGGGCACCAGGCTGATTGGGATGAAGTTAACTGTCAGCCCAAGAGTGGCAGGGATCCACAAGCCACTGTCCAGTAAAGCTCTGATGAGTGGTCAGAAAGGAGTCCCCTAGTCCTTCCTGTCCATCCATCCTCTATCGGTCACATGTATAGCACGCGAACCCCCATCGTATCGGGGTATTATATTAACCTGCTACAATATAAAAACAGAGAAGAGTGGTATTGTGAGTCCTGTTCTAAGACTTAGGATGATCCAGTGGTTAGGGTACTAGTCTGGGACTTAGGAGACCCAGCTTCAATCCCCTGCTCTGCCACAAGTTTCCTGTTTGAGCTTGGGCAAGTCTCTTAACCTGTCTGTGCCTCTGTATACTGGAGATAATAGCACTGCCCAACCTCTGATGGGGGCTGTGCAGCTAAATACAATAGATTGTGAGGTGCCCATATACTATGGCAAGGGTTTGAGAAGTACTGAAATAGACAGTCTTCATTTAATCTCTTCTTCCTGTCCTGTTGACCATGGAAGAGACATTTGGCAACACTCACTGCATAGCAGCATCAGAGATACCAGTTAAATTCCTCCTCTCACAATGGGAGTTTGCCATGACTCTCAGCTGCTGCTCTACGGTCACTTTTGGCAAAACTTTGCCACAACAGACATGGTCTGTCCCACTGGGGTCTGAGAGCCAGATTCATCCATTGATGCCTATAGACATCCTGGCTGTTTAAAAGCCAAGCAAGGACTTCTTGTTTTGTCTTCCTGAGGATAAAAGCAGAGCACATAGCAGGCATGGGAGAGGGAGGTGCAGCCAGGCTGGTTACCTGTCTCATGACTAGCTGCTGCTGCCACCACCATGCTGTTGCTAAAGAAGTGAGCAGCCAGCTGATGAATGGTGCTATCTAGTCCTTCAAACCCAGGGATCAGGGGTGTCATGGTCAGATGTCCGGACAGACTCTCTTGGGAGGGTTGCAGCACTGCCTCCAAAATCAGCTCAACCCGATCCACTTCCAGGCCCCAAGACTTGGTCATGTCATTGATTTCAAGCTAAAAGACAAGCAGCAAAGCAAGAAGCAAAAACATCCCAGTCAGATCTGGGTAAGCGCAAAGCAACAGACTATAATGGAGCATGGAAAGAATCCCTTCCACTCTGAGCTCTGGCTGAGCAGGCTGCATGGAACAAGAGAGGCCCCCAGAGCATGCTCCATTCCCTCCTTGTAGTCCTGAGGTGTCCTCTGTGTATCTGCCTTATCCCCTTTACACCTGGTAGCCCTTCGCTTGATTCCCCCTGAGGCATTCTGCCTGCCTCTCTCCTGTGAACGTGTAATGACCCCAGACTGCCCCATAGGGGCTGCATCTCCACCCTATCCTGCATCCTGCACACCCCAGCACACCTCTGGCTCTGAGACACAGTGAAACCTTGAGAATCCACATAGTCCCTTGGGGGTAGACTCAGAGTGCAGCAGCTATAGTTTCCCTCCTTGGTCATTATTTCCGTGTGTTACATAGCTAGAGAATTAGGGATTCAGGTCCTGCAGCTGGTGAGACACAGACTGCAATGGGGTGCTTCACTTCCCATGTCACAGCACAGGAGCAGGGCCCAAGGTCATAAGCAAACCCCTCACCAGGAGCTGGTCCCCAATCCGCAGCTTTTCCATCTGGATCTCCCTCAGGTTCTTCTTCAGCAGGGTCTTGGTCATGGCGTTTTGGGCCATCATTCGGGTGGCTGCATTCAGATCCTTCACCATCATGACAGACAGCACTGGATCCCACACCCGGAACTGGATATCAGCCCCCACGGCTGATCACAGCTCCATCCTTGGAGGTCAGGTTCTCAGCACTGGTGTGAGGCAGCAGCCGCTCCTCAGCTGTCACTCTCTGCTTTTCCATGGGATGGGGAGGCTGGGGTGGGGGGAAGCTGGGCTGTGGGAAGAGAATCAGGGCGTTTCTGTAGCATGGATGTGCGGGGTTGCACTGGCAGAGGGTCCTGATTGGACGGTCAGGTGGAGGCTGGCTCTGACACTGAGATTGATACAAACCTATCAATCAAAGGACCCACTCACCCCCAGCCTTAACCCCATTGTAGAGAAGGGGTTAAATTCTATGGAAACAAAGCCAACACCTGCCCAATAGGATCCCCAACCTGCTGCTTGTCATGGCTTCGTTCTGCTGGAGTGCTGCCCTAAGGCTCCACCCACCCCTACCCACACCCGCAGAGCACTGGGTGGGGATTAAGTCATCCCTCTTCTGGGACAGGCCCCAGCCTGAGCACACAGCAGGAGCAGTGCTCCGGGCAGAGGGCTGGCAGTGGGCCCAACAAACAGCTCTTTTGGGGGTGCCCATCCTATGGCATGAGGCCAGAGGTCCAGCATGGGGGAAGGGCAATGGGCCTCATGTGGGGTTAGGGTGACCAGATGTCTGGATTTGGACTGGAACACCCAGTCAAAAAGGGATCCTGGCGGCTCCGGTCAGCACCACTGACCGAGCCGTTGGCTGTTCAGTTGGCAGCGCCACCATGCCGCATAGCAGGGCTGACATGCTCCCTGCTAGCTGCCACGCTGTGCGGCTCCTGGGTCAGGAAGCAGCCAGCATGTCCAGCTCCTAGTCTTAGGGGCAGCCAAGGGGGTCCACATGCTGTCCCGCCCCCCCCGCAGGCGCAGCTCCCATTGGCTGAGTCAGAGCAGTGGAGGAACTAGCACAACTCGCAAGCGCTCAGCAGGTGGCTGTTGAGGGGTCATGTGGCACATGCCTCTCTCACTGCTGCCCAGCCCTCTTCTCCTCTTTGTGTGGCTAGGCTCAAGTTGCGCTGCGTGCCCTGTGGCGAACCACGGTCTGTCTGTCACCCCATCGCCGGCATCCAGGAGTTCGAGGTATGTGTATCACCATCTCCAAGTGCTGGGAATGGGGCTACACCCCCATCCCGCTCACTGCATCCCTCCCAGTCCCATCCCCACACCCCCATCACTGCATCCCTTCCCGTCCCAACCCCCCGTAACTCCATCCCCCATCACTGCATCCCTCCGTGACCCAACCCCCTTGCACCCCCATCCCCTCCCCCCTCACTGCATCCCTCCCCCATCCCATCCTGTCCCCCAAACCTACCTATCCCAGGCCTGTACCCCTTTCAGTGCTCTCCCACCCATCCTCTCCACCTCCCAGAGCTGCCACCCCCATGTTCCTCACCAGTGCTGCACTCCTATTATGTCCCTATACATCCCTGTGTCCCCCCACATCCTCATACACCGGTAGCCTTCTGCTTCCCCCTACATCCCCATCCACTCCCACATACCCCCCCCTCACACCCCCGTCCTCTCTCCTTCACTGCCCCCTCTCACTCCCATCCTGCTTTCATCCTTGGCCTCTTTCCCTCCCCATCCTCTCTCCTCTACCCCCACCTTTTCCCCTCCAGCCCACCCTCCTCCCTTCCCAGCTGGGTGATTTAGGCAACCCCTGGAAAAGTGTATGAAAAAGTGTGTCTGTAGGCAAGTGTGTGCATGCATGCAAGATGTGTGTAAGAGACTATGTGTCTTTGTGTAGGGAGGTGTGTGTATTGCCGCATGTGTGTATATCTGTGTGAATAAAATTTGCAGCCTAACTCTTTGATTTTTATTCCTTTTGCTGGCTTGCACACACAAAAAATTGATGACAAAATGTGTGTATTCATTTCATAAGTTTTTAAAAGAGACAGGAACTCTAGAAAAAATGTATTATTTCTTAAAAAGTGAATGTTGTTGACTAGGAATTGCAGAAGGGCCAATGTATCACATTTCTCCCCACCTTTGTCTAGCTACATTATAAACTCTTTGTTGCAGACTCTCTCTTTTTAAGTGTATGTCCAGCACCTACCACCCCAGAACCCTGATCTTAGTTGGGGTCTCTAGGCACTAAACAACAATTGTAACATTCAATAATGTGGAAGCATATGTGTTAGTGCATGCTAGATGTGTACACATGAATACACGTGTGTATCTGCAGATAGGGGTGAGCGTCAGTTTCTATAGATTTATTTATCTAAGTGTCTGGACAGATGTGCATTTCTGTGGTTGTGCTCTATGGATTTGTATTTGGGCTTCAGGAGTGGGCCTTTAATGGACCCATTGCAGCTGTGATTGTGTGGTCCTAATTCCACAGATAAAATTACAATAACTCTAGTGAACAAAAAACATGGAGCTGGTTACAAAAAATGGGAAGAGGGGAGGGAAAGAATCATGAAAAACCTTTGTGAAATTTCATTTTTTTTAAATTACCTTTTTTGATTATTTTGCTGCCAGCTTTAGCATCCTGTAACAAATAAAACCTGAACATAGCATAACACATCTGTCAAAACAATAAATATGCCTGTTTGAGCCTTGCAGTGAAAATGACCACGTGAGAGAGGGTGGGGGAGAGCACGTGACAGAGGGAGGGGGGATGGAGTGAATGGGGCAGGGCCTTGGGACGGGGTGGGGCGGGGCCTCAGGGAAGAGGCAGGGCAGCGGGCAGGGCAAGGGTGCTCAGTTTTCTGGAATTAGAAATTTGGCAACCCTATCTGGTGTTTGCCTTAATCTAGGCAGTGGTGCTGTAACGGGGTTGGGACTCACCACCATGGCGCCTCCTACTGGTTGTTCTGGGAATTAGCTCAGTCCAGTGGAGCACCCCCTCCTAGTAGTGTCCCGACCGTCATCTCGCCCTCGGTTGGCACGTCTGAGCTCACGTCACTCACCAACTCGCAGCGTCCTCTTTGGGACCACTGCCCCCTGGCAGTGTCCCTTTGTCTTTCCACACCCCCTTCCAGGGGGAGGTCAATCAACAGTCTCCTCGTCCAGCCACCGTAGTCAACCACACACCCCAAAGTCTAATCCCTCCCATCAGGGATCTGGCATGGTCTGTACTGGCCTCTCCCTACGGCCAATGGCTAGATGTACTGCGAAGGGGTGGGTGGGGGAGACCCAGGGACCCTCTGGCAGCAGCCTCGCTGTCCTCCTACTCTCCCCTCATCTGTCCGCTTCCCTGAGCCGCTTCCCCTACGGCCCCTTGCACCGCTAGGCCCTTCCACTCAGGACCTGCAGCCTGGCAGGCCTCAGGCTAGAGCTCCCCTCTGCTCCCTGAGCCTGGCCAGCACTGCGCTGTCTACAGTGCTAGTCTCCCAGTTTGGAGATAGACCTTCCCCTCTCAAAGGCCTGGGACAGACTGCCTGCTCTCTCCCCGAGCAGCTTTTTATAGGGCTGAGCCTGGGCCCTGATTGGCTGTCTCCAACCTGGGCCCTGATTGGCTCCCAGTAAGCCCTTCTCTCATTGGCTGTGTGTCTGCGCAGGCCCACTGGCCTTCCGCAGCCCATAATCTCAGGGAATGGGGCAGCTGCCCCACTACAGGTGCCCACAGAGATACCAAGGGTCAGTTGTCCTTAATAGTGAGATTTACAGCCTCAAAAAGTAAGAATTTCCAGGAGTGTGTCAGGTCATTGCTTATTACAGGGACTCTCTTTTTTGCTCCTTGGTGACATCCAATAGTTCAGGCTTTTAATCCAACCAGCACTTAATAACTTTATTAAATGTACACTGCTTAATATTGCATCTGAAACACTTCAATGTCCTAGCTCATACTAAAGTCTAGGGCAGGTGAGAATTCTCCATGCAATAAGAACATAAGAATGTCCATACTGGGTCAGACCAAAGGTCCATCAAGCCCAGTATCCTGTCCTCTGACAGTGGCCAATGACAGGTTATCATCAAGTGATCCATGCCCTGTCACCCAATCCCAGCTTCTGGCAAACAGAGGCTAGGGACACCATTTCTGCCCATCCTGGCTAATAGTCATTGATGGACCTATGTCATAACTATAAAGGGAAGGGTAACAGCTGTCCTGTGTACAGTACTATAAAATCCCTCCTGGCCAGAAACTCCAAAATCCTTTTCCCTGTAAAGGGTTAAGAAGCTCAGGTAACCTGGCTGGCATCTGACCTAAAGGACCAATAAGGGGACAAGATACTTTCAAATCTTGGGGGGGGGGAAGGCTTTTGTTTGTGTTCTTTGTTTGGGAATGCGTTTGCTCTCGGGACTGAGAGGGACCAGACATCAATCCAGGTTCTCCCCATCTTTCTAAACAAGTCTCTCCTATTTCAAACTTGTAAGTAAATAGCCAGGCAAGGCGTGTTAGTTTTCCTTTGTTTTCTCAACGTTGT